CACTGGGAGGTAATTAGGTCATGAGGGTGGAGCCTTCGTGAATGGGATTAAAGCCCTTATAAGGAGAGACACAAGAGAGATTTTCTCTTCCACCATGTAAGGATGCAGCAAGAAGATGGCCTTCTGCAAACTAGGAAGAGGGTCTTCATCAGGAACTCACCTTGGTCTTGGACTTCCCAACCTCCAGAAGAGTGAGGAAGAAGTTTCTGTTGTTTAAGCCGCTCAGTCTGTTGCTGTAGCAGCCAGAGATGGCTAAGATAGGACATTAGGAGGTGGTTTTCAGGAACAGGAAAGAGATGGTGAGTTCTGGAATTCGGACATTGTAGCACTAGATTTTTTTTTTTTTTTTAAAGATTTTATTTATTTATTTGAGAGAGAGAGAGAATGAGAGACAGAGAGCATGAGAGGGAGGAGGGTCAGAGGGAGAAGCAGACTCCCCGCCGAGCAGGGAGCCCGATGCGGGACTCAATCCCGGGACTCCAGGATCATGACCTGAGCTGAAGGCAGTCGCTCAACCGACTGAGCCACCCAGGCGCCCTGTAGCACTAGATTTTAAGCTATATTTTGGAAGTAGTATATATCCAAAGATATATCCAAAGTATATATCTTCGGAAGAAGCTGTATTTTGGAAGTAGGATTGGATGGATTGGATACAAGAAATGAATCAAAGGAAGACATTCAAGGGTGCTTTCTCAATTTCTGGCTTGGACACTTGAGTTGAGGATAGTGCTGTTTGCTAAGATGGAAAAGACTGGTTTTGGGAGCAGACATCAAGAGTTTAGTTGAGTGCTTACTGAATTAGAAAAGCCTGACACCCAAGTTGGGAACTGGCGACTGTTGGATGTAAGTCAGAAGCTCAGAGGAGAGGTCTGGACTGGAGAAACCCATCTGGGAGTCACCAGCATACAGAAGAATTTAAAAACCATTTAGAGACCGACCGAGTAGGGAAGTATCCAGCCGAAGGAAGGGAAACAGCTGTAGCTCATCATACCAGGACATGTTACCAGGTGCCCTGAGATGGGGGACCCAGGGCTCCTAGCCATAGTCTCTTCAACTTTAAAGCTTTCTTAGGTCTTCCCAATTTTGGCCTCAGGTGGCAGTCTCCCCACCCCCTTCTTTACGGGCACTTTAAAAAGGCATTTATGATTATAGATCCTTCATTTATATTTTAATACAAAATGTTCTGTCCCTCATATTTGAATTCTCTATGAAACTTACTTTATGGGGTAGAGGTTGGGAAACGCTGTAATAGGGATTAGAATGGATAGAGGTACGTATATGGCACATACAAAGGGATTCCCGGAGGACAGGGCACCTGGGCGGGGGGGGCGGGGATAGAAGAGGTTTTGTTGGGAGAAAATAGGTAGTTTCTTAGGCATCTTTCCATTTCACCGTGTGGTTAGTGCCAGATTATGCCACTAAAATCATTCCTCCATCATGCTTCCACGGGCATGTCCTGATTGTCATGTGTGGGTTAGGCACTAAGTGCTGAGCTTTCTAAGGAATATGACATGAAAATGCTATGCTATCCAGGTGTATACCAAGGACTAGGCAGCTCAGAGGAGGTACAGTGCTGAATGTGCTGGCAGAACCTTTGGTTTCTGAAAGTAGATCCTCACCTTCCATATCACAGCTGTGTATTTTTATTTGTTCATGGTCTAACTACAAAGGCACTTCACTGTCTGCCTGCCCTGCTGTTGACCTTGTTTATTTCTAGACACTGCTCCTTGGGCACCTATTTGCCCCTTTTGTCTCAATCCTCTAGTTCTGTGGAAGGCTTCTCCCTTCAGTGCTACTGCATACTGAAGAGTTATTCAGAATAACTGAATTCTCCACCTCAGTATCACTTCTGCCTCATTCCCCCTCCCCTGCAGTCTGACTCTGAATTGTAACATCGGTAGATATTTTTCCTACTGTATTTCTTCCTCTTTAAGTGGTTGATTAACAATTTACTTTGTATATTTTATCTTTATTGAACTAGCCTCATATGTTTCTTTGTTCAGTCATTCATTCAACAAATATTTATCGAGCACCTACTACGTGGCAGGCATTGTTATAAGCACTAAGCATGTACTTCTGATCAAAAGCAGGTAAGAATCCCTGCCCTCTTGGGGCTTCTGTTCCATTGTGTTCCTTATATTCCACCGACACTACATTACATACCACTTTATCTTTGCAGCAGTGATAATGACCTGGTTTTTCACAATGCTCTACTTAGGACAGGTTCAAGTGATCGGCTCACTCCATCCGTAAAGCTATGTTTTACCAATTGGTATCCGTTAGCTGGTATCCCTGACTAGGGAAATTGCACTGCTGTGTCCATTTTTGTTTCGTTTTAACTTTTTATCTTGGAAAGAAGAGTTGTCAGTCTGGTTTTGAAATTTAGCAGCCATTTATTAATACTGGTGATTGTATGATTTGGCAGCAGTGTTTAATAATTTTTTAGTGTTCATAGTTAGACGTGCTGCAGGTACGTACTTTATCATGAGAGAACATAGGCATATCTTATCAATGATCTTTAATATAACCTGTAGGAGAATAAGTAATTCTAAGGTGAATAAATATTTAAAGTGATCTCACATGTGAATAATTTGTGATTTCTTCCCCACTCATTCACAGACCACACTGCAACTTTAAAAATAATTGAAAGATAGCTGTTGCGCTATTAAAAATTATTTAAATCTTTTAAAAGCATCTAGTAGCATAGCAGTTAATCCAAACCCCTAAAATTTTGCATCTATTTGAAAAAAGTATTTAGGAGTGGAAATTTTTGTGCTTACATGGAAATAAAGCCTTTAAATACCCATACTTATAAATTACTTTCCTACAAGATGAGTAGATTCTTTGTGGGTAATTAAGCAATACCTTCCAGATTTACTTGGTATGATTTTTAGTATTAAAGTATTTGCTTTTTTTGTACTCCAAACTCGTTGAAGCAATGAAATAAGATGTCTTGGAGGCATTCAGGATTAATTCAGATGGTCAGCACACTTGAAATAAATGCCACTTTAGATGTTTAGGCATTTTTATCCTTCTTAGGTTCTTAGCTATGAACATCATAATAGACAAAAATCTTGCTTTAGGAAATGTGTGAAATGGGAGAAAGAATGGGAATGTCACGGTGGTAGGATAAAAGGTTTGCCCTAAACCATTGTCATCTGATGCCGCGTACCAAAAAGCACTTTTAAAGAGGTTTTATACAGTGGAGAAGGATTTAAGGCAAGTATCTATTAAATGATATAGCCTTAGCCTGAAGAAAAATAGATTATGAGTCATGGACATGTGGTGTGATTATGTATCCTTTGGCATACATGGCATAACAATACTTTCTGGAATGAATTCCTATTAACCCCATCAAGAATAAGAGTAGATTTGTATTTTTTTTTTTTAAAGATTTTATTTATTTATTTGACAGAGAGAGACACAGCAAGAGAGGGAACACAATCAGGGGGAGTGGGAGAGGGAGAAGCAGGCTTCCCGCCGAGCAGGGAGCCCGATGCGGGGCTCGATCCCAGGACCCTGGGATCATGACCTGGGCTGAAGGCAGACTCTTAACGACTGAGCCACCCAGGTGCCCCAGATTTGTTTTTTTTTTTTAAGATTTTATTTATTTATAAAAATAAGAGTAGAAACAGGCCTTTATTTTCGGCAGAGAGGGCAGCAGGGCAGATCCAAGTGGGCATTGCCCAGACCTGAAGCCCGGGCATTCGGCAGTGTGGAAGGGGTCAGAGCAGGTAGCGAGTCAGAAGATTGAGTATCAGTGGATGATGGACGATGTCATAAATCAGAGCGTGCTGTGGATCCAGGCTGGGCTTGGGACGAAGATGGGTCTCCAGGATAAGGGTGAGTGGCCAGCGTGTATGACAGCCAGAGTGTTGATGGTACCGTTGTGACCCACACTGAATTAGGCCGTGGCTTTTGGGACACAGCAGGCTACCGAGGAACACAGAGGTTAGATGGGACCGTAGTCAGGGTAATTAGCAGGTGTTCAAGGGATTTGCTGCCAGCATGGCTGTGGGTTAAAGTGAACACTGGTGCACAGATCAGGCCCTAAAGTGAAGGTGGCCTGTGGATCAGAGAAGATTCAGGCAGAAGCTTTTCTCTGCCCTGAAGAGTGTTTTTGGAGAGGAGCTGACCCCAAGTTCTGGGCAGCACCAAGACTGAAAGCTCTAAAGTAATGATGTTCCTGAATTCTAACATTTGGAACTTTATTAAATAAAGTTTTATCCATTCAAGATAATACCAAGGTCAGGATGAAGGACACGGGCAAAGTCCAGTTTCTAATAATAAATAGCTCCTATTTATTTAGCACTCATTGTGTCAGGTACTGTCCTAAGTGCTTTCCATGTACTGTTCCATTTCACCCTCCTATCAACCTATTTAGGGAGCCAGAGGTTGGCTTGCAGAAATAATACTTGAGCAGTAAGACAGTAGGAATTACTCAGCATGGTGTGTCGAGGCATGGGCTTGTAGTACTCTCCAAACACCAGCAAGTTCTGAGTGCTCAAGTTTATCATTAGCCTTCCTCCCTCATTGTTTCATGGCCCATGGCTATTTGCTGTTACTGGCATATTTAACATGTGCCTCGGGTCATGTGCACTTTTAATGATGTATTTAACCCCTGTCCAGAGTGTCTTCCCAGACCACTTTTACTCTGGCTGGTTCCCTTTTCCGACTTCCCATCACTTTTATTTATTGTCTCTACACATTTGGTGACTTGATTAAATTCCTTTTTCCTTTTTTATACTTGTTTTTTAATTGCTTAATATGTGTAAATTTTGCTTCATCATCAAGCGCAGAAGTCTATATTGCTTTTGTACTTTCCACAAAACTAGCCTCATTGTGAATAATCCAATAAATTCACATAGTGTATTCTGTATCTTCCTTTCTACTTTGATTTTAGTCATGTTTTAATCAACTTTTAAGAAACTAGTTATTTTTTTATACATCTTGCAGTGTAGGAATGTTACTTAAAAATTTTTTTCTTTAAATTTTCACAGGGCAAACTCAGAAAATGAATCTTTTCCAGGCGATAACAAGTGCCTTGGATAACTCATTGGCTAAAGATCCTACTGCAGGTAAACTTCCTTTGTGTGTGAGTGTGGTAGCTGTGTTAATTCAGAATTGAAAATTTGCTGGAAATATTGCGTCTGAAGGTCAACGGTTAACATTATGTCTCCCTGAAAATTTTTAAAAGATCTGATCAAATGATTAAGGTTAAATAATCAGATTATGATATTAACACATTTTTTAAAATCAATTCATTATGAATTAGTTCTCATGTATATCTAACATCATCAAGTCAACTTTCTCCCATAGTATGTGTGGTCCTGATATTATATTAATACTTTCTGGATTAATACCTACCGTGTATTTCTGTTTCTCCAGCATATAGAAAAAAATGGGAGGTACCACTTCATTCAGATTTATGAATCTGTTTATGAAATGAAGATTTGATTCCACGCTTTCCTTTGAGATACATTGTCATCCCACTTAATAAGATTTTTTTGAAATACCTTTTATATTTGTAAATAACTTTATCTTATCAAATTTAATTATTGGTATAAAAACAGTTGTTCTGTATGTTTTCTAAATTTGGTTGGCTTTACTTCATATATATATGTATTAGTATATAAAAATATATATATTTAGTATACCTTGGGCTTCCACTTGAGAATCCCTGGTTTTAAGGTAAAGCAAAGTAGAGGTTATTTGTTAGGAGGAAGTGAGAGCTACACTAGTGGATGACGAGATCTTGCTTTGTTTGAATGTCATCTGAGAATGATTGATCTCAAAGAGTAAATAAGGGTGAATTGTTTTCCTAAGGTCCACAAAGCTGGTTAGGTGAGTTAATAAATTCAGCTCCATGAACACCCATTTTTATTGTCATTGCCTTGCTCACTATCTCCCACCATACTTGCCTCCTTTCACAAAATTTAGGTTCTTTTCCTACTTTGGACTGTTCTCTCACCTTGGAATGCTTTTCCCTCAGCCCTTCAGATTGTTGTCTTTCACTGTAGACCATGTAAGAAAGAGAACCACTGGTGGAGGACTTGAGCTTGGAGTGTGAGTCATAGTTCTGCCCCTTGCTTTCCTACTGGTCAAGTTACTTTACTACTGCTCTGGCCTCGTTTTCTTCATGGGTAAAACAAGGTGACATTCTAGATCAGTGGTTCTTTGTCAGTTGGGGTGATTGTAATCCCCCTTCTTCCTTTATGTTTAACGACTTCTGGAGACACTTTTAGCGGTCACAACTGTGTGTGTGTGTGTGTTTTGGAATGGGGGGCGCAACTGTCATCCACTGGGTAGAGACCAGGGATGCTGCTCTCTGTCTGCAATGCACAGAACAGGCTGCTACAATGAAAGAATTATTCAGTCCAAACTGTCAGTGATGTTGAAGTTGAGAAGCCTTGATTTAAACCTCGGATTCACTTGTTTTCTGATTTAAAGTGTAAGCATTTAAATTACTTATTTTTTGTTGTCAGTATCACTTAAGGGTTATTAAATAAAACATGTTCTTTAAACATTGTTTTTCAGTAATATTTGGTGAAGATGTCGCCTTTGGAGGAGTCTTTAGATGTACGGTTGGCTTGCGAGACAAGTATGGTAAGTCACCATCTTTATATATGAATAGTATTCCTGTATAACTTTTCCTTAAATATCTTGAAGATACAAAAGATGCCTGTTCCATTGTTTGCCATATCCTTATTGTATAGATAGTTGTTGGTTTTTGTTTTTATTTTTGTTGTTTGGTTTAGTTTTCCATTTCCATAGACATCCACAGAATCCTTTGGCCTAGATTTCTCCTGATGTGTTCTAATTGCAGTATCTCTCTGATCTGGTTCAGATCACACATATTATAGATGCCAAAGTCATCTTCATTAAATGTATTGTTTTTCATGTCATTCAAATCCAGGAAGCTTTGATCTCTTACTACTGCCTACCTTACCCAATTTTGATTCCAGTGTCTCTAGTTCAAGATTCTGCCCTACTGGTCTCTGTTAATAGATTTCATCTTTTATTACCTGTATTAGTCAGGGTTCTCCAGAGAATTAGAAGCATTAGGATATATATATATATATTTGTAGCTATGTATGTATGTATATATGTATGGGTATTATATATTCATCTATATCTATTTGTATTTATATGCATCCCTCTCTCTCTATATCTATGTCTACACCTATATCTATATTGAGAAAGAGAGAGAGATTTATTTATTTTTTTTAAAGATTTTATTTATTTATTCATGAGAGACAGAGAGAGAGAGGCAGAGGGAGAAGCAGGCTCCCAAGGAGCAGAGAGCCTGATGCGGGACTCAATCCCAGGACCCTGGGATCATGACCTGAGCCGAAGGCAGACGCTTAACCATCTGAGCCACCCAGGCGCCCGAGAGATTTATTTTTTAAGGAATTGGCTCACATAATGAGGGGGCTGGCAAGTCTGAAATCTGTAGGGCAAGCCAGCAAGCTGGAAACCCAGGCAGGGTTTCTATGTTGCAGTCTTCAGGCCGAATTTCTTCTTGTTGGGGAAACCTGTCTTTTTTCCTAAGGCCTTCAAATGACTGGGTGAAGCTCATCATATTATGAAGGGCCATCTGCTTTACTGAAAGTCTAGTGATTTAAATGTTAATCACATCTAAAGAATACTTTCACAGCAATATCTATACTATTTGACCTAACAACTGGGCACCATCATCTAGCCGAGTTGACACATGAGATTTACTATTCCCTCTTCCAAAAAAAAAAAAAAAAAAAAATTCACCATCCCATTATCCTTCCACACGTCTTACCTCAGCTGATCTCTGTCTTTTGCTTGGCATGTGATTGATTTCTGCCTATTGCTTTTACTCATTTCATTTGACTCAGACTTCAAACAGTGCATTTTGGCCCATCCAAGCATCCTCCCTCCTGACTTGCTGTGTAAGGAATATATTTCAACTCCTTACTGTTAGGGGTGACTTTGAGGTGATTTGACTTTTCGTTTCTTCTTTCAGTCTTACCTAAACTGGAAGTCAGCAAAGTGCTTAAGTTTAGGGGGAAGAGTAGACATCTACCTTTCTTTTTACCTTTGCCACTGCTCTCTAAAGAAAGAGACAGGAGAGGGCGCCTGGGTGGCTCAGTTGGTTAAGCGACTGCCTTCGGCTCAGGTCATGATCCTGGAGTCCCTGGATCGAGTCCCGCATCGGGCTCCCTGCTCGGCAGGGAGCCTGCTTCTCCCTCTGACCCTCCCCCCTCTCATGTGCTCTCTGTCTCTCTCATTCTCTCTGTCTCAAATAAATAAATAAAATCTTAAAAAAAAAAAAAAAAAAGAAAGAGACAGGAGAAAGCAGTGGGGCAGGACTCAGAAAATCAACCTGCTATAAAGAGAAGAGAACTATAAGCAAGGTGGAACATGATGCCATGATGTCCTGGATTCAAATATAACACAACCTCAGAGAAGAGTGGAAAAAGAAAGAACAACAATTAGGAAAAAAAAAATCCGAAAGCTGTTTAGAGATTGAGATAGTTGGGCCAATCTCAACTGTCTCACACTATCTCAGTTAGTTCCAGCTAATTCAGGTGCCTACAAACTTTAGCTCTTTAAAAAAAAATTGAAAAGCCTTTATATACATTTGATTTCAAAAGCAATGCATATGCATTGAAGAAAATTTGGAAAATATAGAAAAGCATAAAGGAGAAACATAAAATTGTCCATACTTCCAAAGATAACCTAGAGAAAACCATGGTACCCCTCTTGGTTTACACACTTCTAGATCATATTTGAATATATCTGAATATGTTTGCATATATTAACTAATGTTTAAAACATTGAATTATACTTTTGTTTTCTTCCTAGGATTTTCAGCTCCGCTTACATTGCCCACCTGTTCTTGCATGTTGTCTACTTTATCCATTGGAACCCTTCACATGTTCATCATAGTTGTTTTAAATCCCTGGTCTGGTAATTCCAATCCCTGCCCTATCTGGTTCTGATGCTTGCTCTGTCTCCTCAAACTGTGATTTTGCCTTTTGGTGTGCCTTGTAATTTTCTCTCGCTAGATGGACATGATGCACTGGGTGAAAGGAACTGCTGTAAATAGGCCTTTAGGGATGTGGTGATGAGGTGTTTGGGGAAGGGAAGCATTCTGTAGTCCTGTGATTAGGTCTCAGTCCTTTATTGAGCCTATGCCTCTGGACTGTGAACTTCATAGGTGTTTTTTTCTCTCTCTCAGGTGGGACAGGAGGGCTGTTGCTGCCTGGATTTGGGCATTGTCCTTCCCCCAGGTCAATTACACTCTGACAATAAATACCCAGGTTTCCCTTGATGTCAGGCCTTTTTAAGAAGGGAGTGCTCTGGCGTATTTCAAAATGGTTCCTTGTCTGCTTCCCCAGCTGGAAGCAAGAGGGGATTTTTCTCCTGTGTTTATCCTAGGAATCTGGTCGAGCTCCTGGAGGTAAGCCTCACAATTTTGGGGAGGCCTCCTTAGGACTGGGTCCTTAGAGTTTTTAACTCTCAGGCTTGTTTGCACTGAGCCTCCAGCAACTCCTCAATTACAGTTCAAGTTTTCCTTCCCTGGCACTGGCTCTCACAGTGGTTTTTACTCCTTAGTCCCAGCTCTGGTAAGTCAAGATTTCCCGTATTCCTCTGTCTGTCTCTTCAGTCTCGAGGACAGCAGTTTGCTCTGTGTCCTCTCCTCTCTCTCGGGTCCAAGAAGAGGTGTTCATTTTTCAGTCTGCGGCTTTTGACTTGCTGTTAGGACAGAGTGGCTACTTCCAAGCTCCTCACATGTGGAATTGGAAACCAGAGGTCGAATTATAGTTGAGCTACTTAGGCTTGTCTACATCTGGTGTAGCTGTGCGGCCCCTCAGTTTCTCGCCTCGCTCTCCCTGTCTTGCCCTTGCCAGCGTGGTAGCGGGCCGAGTGCTTGTTGAGGCCGGCGAGGCTTCTGTTGGCTGCCTGCCCAGGTTCTCATCTGTGGTGCTCTTCTGACTGTACCCATTCTGTCTGGGGCATGGCCCCCCTGTCCCCTGCTGCTCACTGGGGACTGGCGAATTTCTAAATCCAGTGTAGACCTCCGGCTTGAGCTTCACATCTGTGTTCTCATTATACCATGGCACATCATCACCTCGGTGTTCCAGTCACTTCAAACGCAGCATTTCCAAACTCTTATTTTCAGACTCTGCGGAGTGCATTGTCTCCACCCAGCAGATCCACAGTGACCATTGCACTTGCTATCTCGGTGACTACGCCACTATCCGTTCAGTTACCTGAGCCAGAAACTGGGGGGCGGGATCTGAGTCTCTTCCTCCTTTCCCATTCTTTACCCCCAGTCATCTTCACGGTTTGTCTCTAAAGTGACCTCTCCTTTCCAGTCTCACCTCCCTGGTCTGCCTTCAGATCCTTAATCATCTTTGCTTGGACAGTTTCACTGCTGTTCTTAGCAATCTGCCTCCCTCCAGTCCGCACCTGGCTGCCAGTGTGACCGTTCTAAAAGGCACATCTCATGGCAGCTTATACAAAAGACTCTGAGATCTGTCCTCTACCTACCTACCTGACCTCATTCAATTTATTTACCAATATTGAATCGCTAGATGTTTTCCCTAAGCCTCTGCTTTTTCCCCATCTCTCGTCCTTTGCACATGCCATTTGGATCTCTCTCATCCGATTCCCTGGTAAGCTCCGCTTTTGCCTTCAGAAGTTTCCTCTAGAAAGCTCTTCCTGACTCTCCAAGCAGACTCAGGCACTAGGTTTCACTGCTCAGATTTTATACCTTTTACATAGTGCAGGCTGCAGTGTCGTCTCCCCACCCACATCTCTGCCCCAGACAGCTTCTGGAAGGCCACGGATATTTAAGTCATCTGTGCATCCCAAGCTCCTCATATCGTGTCTGTCTGTACTTATGAAGTGGATGTTGTTGAGTGAACTTACCCTTCACTCTCTCACCAAGACAATGTCCCACTGCCTCAGAAAGGGGATTTCCTTATTTCCCTTTAATGATGTTTGGTTGGTCAGATTTTTTTCTTAAAACAGCGAGAAACTCTCACTTGAAAAAGTCCTCTACTCATCAAGGCACCTGCAGATTTAGGTCTCTACAACACGGGGCTGAGCTAATTAAGCACTAACTTTTAGCTGTATTGTCAGCGGCTGTGAATTTTTTTTTTCTTTTTTTAACAAACGCTTTAGGACTATGAATTGAAGTTTTGAATAATTCCAGGTTGGTCAATATGAACAATTAAATCAACTCTCTCTAATGAGACTGAGTGAACGTCAGTCTTCAGGAGCGAAGAATAAAGGAAGTGGTGAAGAGAAATCTATTAAAATAGAACTTTTCCTGGGCGCCTGGGTGGCTCAGTCGGTTAAGCGGCTGCCTTCGGCTCAGGTCATGATCCCAGGGTCCTGGGATCGAGTCCCGCATCGGGCTCCCCGCTCTGCAGGGAGCCTGCTTCTCCCTCTCCCTCTGCCTACTTGTGTTCTCTATCTCTCTGTCAAATAAATAAATAAGATCTTAAAAAAAAAAATAGAACTTTTCCCATATTTAAAAAAATAGCATATATCTTTTAAAAATAATTCTCTGCCCTTTTGAGTGCAGGCCAGGGATGTTTAGCTGTCCAGAAGCCTGTCCACTTAGTATTTTTTTTGAAGTTAAAAGCACTTGTATTTAAAAGATTATATTGATCTCGTTGAATACATGGCATTAAATGACATAGCAAAGAGCATCTTGCAAGGAATTGATTTAGCTTTCTGGGGAGGAGCTGAATGTTGAGAGAGACTGGATCACGGTCAGTAGGTGGCAGCCTACACTTCTAAATGAGGCTGTCCTTGCCGGCAGTACCAATACTCTGCCACGGCCGAGAAGCATTTTAAATCCCGTCCGAAGGGAGAATTTGAAGAATTGCGGGTTACTGACCTAATGTTGTGATGCTGAATGCTACTTGATATTAAAAAGAAGGAACTGTATAATAAGGGACTATGCTATTAAAAAAAGGAGAGAGAGAGAGCTCTTTTGCACTGCAGATAATCCAGATGCGTGAGTATAGCACCATAAACCACTGTTCTCCTTCCTTGTCTTTTGATGGCACAAAATAGTAAGGGTGGTTTGAAAACTGAAAATAGATGGTCTAACCTCATTGACACATTGCACACCAAATATCAGCTTTAGGCTTTTTAAGCAAGGGCTCCCTTGCCCAGAGCAACAGTTCCCTAGGCGTGTCCTAGGGAAGCCTTGGGTAGGAGCAGGCAATTCAAATGGTAGGTGATTTTTTTAGGGTATGTGATTTTATGTTGAATACTACACATCCTGTCATTCATATAATGAGACAGATTCCACAGTTCCTACGGAACCTGTCCTCATTACTGTCGTTCTCTCTATGTTGTCTTTCTGTGTTTTAGTCACATAAGACTTTGGTATGTCAGGTTAAGCAGATATTTTTTTAAAGATTTATTCATTCATTTGAGAGAGAGAGAGACATAGAGAGTGAGTGAATGAGTGTGGGGAGGGGCAGAGGGAGAGAGAAACCCCAGCAGACTCCTTGCTGAGCTCAGAGCCTGATGCGGGGCTCGATCCCACGATCATTAGATCATGACTTGAGCCAAAACCAGGAGTCAGTTCCCTAACCCACTGAGCCACCCAGGCGCCCCTCAACATATGTTTTTATTTCACACTCTTCTGTACTGATGTGGACATTGCTAGGCTGTGGTTCATAAGGCTATATTTTAGTCCACTTATTGGAAGAAACTTAGGTGAGAAGGAATAGCAGAGGACTTGGTGAATTAGTCTATGGGCCCAAACATCTGCCTTTTCATGGGATTTGATATTTTTCCATTACTGTGTTCATTCCTGTACACCACAACTGCAGTCTGTCCTAGCAGCTTGGGAAAACGAATATAACCGCTTATTTGTTTTCTTACGTAAACGTCATCGAGATTGTTTAACCAGGCACTTTAATACACTGGATTCAGGAAGGAAAACTAGGGCGGGCGTGGGGAGAAGACACGTTCTCCTCTGTCATATGCCGATATTTGGGACTTGATTTTCAGCCTCCCTGGCCTCATCAGTCAAGGAAAGGACTAGATGTGCCTCACCGGCACATACTTTGGTATTCTTTGTGCTTGTGTCTCTTTTTAAAAAGAGGAGCATATTTGTTTTACATTTCCATTTCCTTTATATTTAGAGGTATTATGAATATAACAATTGTTCTGTCATTTTAGAATCATGGGCGCATGGGGCCTTTAATTTTCTCTGAAGACATCCCTTCTCCGGTATAAGTTTTAAATTTGAGGAATGCAGGCAAAATCTTTTGACAAGTCTGCTATACTTTAATGTGAATTATGAAGTTAACCTTTTCAACATAAAAAAATGACCTGCTGCCGAGAAGGGGTTACTTGGGTCATCATGATCCTTTCGGGTGTAGTGTCAGGAACGTCAGTTGTGAAAGGGGGCCTGGCTTCTAGGCAGTTACAACTAATTTCACTGAAGAAAACACTGGGTAAAATAATGATAGTTCTCGAGGGAAATGGAATATGTGATTTATTTTCCCCACAAAGTATACACATGTATGACTTCACAGCACATTTAATACCAGATATAAGTTGTAAGTTGTTTAACTGTTCTGTGAATTTGGAGTAAAAACAGGTGTTAAGATGGTGTAAACTTTTTTTTTCTAATGTGCTTATTAAAAAATATTTTAAAAGGATTGTTACTAGCTTTAAGTGTCTTTCTTCCTAAAAGTCAGGCGCTTTAAATTGCTGGTATTACAAGGCCCTTTGTTTTCTAAGAGTACACATGTGGTAGAACTAGATAAGAAGAGGGGTATATTAAACGTGTTCTTTAACTCTGTTATCCAGTCGAAGTACCCTAGAAAATGGGACGAAAATATTACTGAGATATACTTCATTTACATTCGTTTCCATCCTACATGCTTCGATGTTCTTTTGTGAATTTTCATTCCTAAAAGATTTTG